TTCGACCTACCAAAGAGTACTGTCACGGGTATCTTTTTCCTGAGGCATTTTTGTATCACGTCTGGGACTTACTGATTCTTATGTTGTTTTTACAAAACAAATGTAAGTTTTGCGCAGATATATATCTCATTACAGAAGTGGAATTGGATGAAGAAGGAAATCTCATCGAGAAAATAGAAGGTGAAGAAAGCGGGTTCGAGGATGATAGTGAAGATGAGGATTATAAGCCAGGCTCCAAATCCAAAGCAAAGGCAAAACCTGCCCCAGCAGCATGTGAGTACATTTTTAATCTCTGACTCTTATTTTCGTACTACATGCAAACTTTCTGTGGGTAGGTCAGATTTTTGGTAAACCAATAAGTACTTTGGTTTCAGCACGAGGTCGTGGACGAGGTGGCAGCACTGGTGCGACTCCACGAGGGGGTGGTGGCACCAAAAGGGGACGGGGCAAGTAGGGGTGATTTACTGGTATATGAGATTTGCTTTATTCTGTTTCACAGTACTAATCCTTTATGACCCTCTTTCTGCTGGCTTTGGTGTAAGTTACGCTTTACCGAGTGAACATTTAACCTCAAGCTAATTCGTCGGTGCCTGCCTCTTTTATGTTAACATCTTTTACCATATATTTTGAACTCTTTTTTTTTTGTTTTAACGGATTCGTTACTCAGTCTTAAAGCTGTTGAAAATACAACGGCCAAACGATTTTTTGTTTTGATCTCGAGTATGAGTGCGAGTACAAGAATAAATGATCGTGTCTGAATCGTTTTCTATCTGCGAATCTTGGTTTGGAGCTACAGACAGGATTAACAGGACCAAGAGTGGGTTGCAGTATCGCAGCTCAGAGTTTCTTTGTATTACTGTATTTACATGCTCTACATACACTAGAGCAGGAATAACAACTGCCTTTATGAAGGTGTAAATAGCGGGTTCCGATGTTAGGGATAAAGAGCACTGTGCCCAGGTTTGAATCTTTGAATATGTTAAGGAAGATTCGCCCAGAACTCGCTAACTTTGTGAGAATAACAGGAGCATAGGGTACTTCTAGTATACATAATTTCCTAGAATGCCGTCAATGCAGTTCGAATGCAGTTGTAATTATGCATATAAATAAATGTGGTCAAGTGGTTTCCCATGAGTGCCCTTTTTGTTCACTGTGCTCCTCTCGTCAAGGGTTCTTTCTACTCAAATCCAAGGGTTCCAATCATCAACCTTTCCCTGCTCTCACGAACTTTTGCGGCGGTAGCACGCAGCTGTTTTCGCTTGGTGATTTCATGGAAACCGTTGTTTTGCTGGAAGAAAGGAGTCAGCACGACCGGCGCCGACATTTGGTGTACTTGGCGGTGTAATCCAATCCCTATCCCGAGCAAGTCCTCGATATCACACAGTTCATG